TAGTAGCAGCCGAGCCGTATCTACTCTTCCAATACATCACGGCATAGATCACGGCTACCAGCTGGGGTTATTTAATTGTAATACAATACTACAATGCAATACGAGTGTCAGCCGAGCCTGTCGGTAGTATACTATAGTATACTACAATACATCACGGCTACCAGCCGGCAATACGGCTATCAGCCGGGCGTGTCTGTAGTATACTATACTATAGTGTACTGCAAAACATCACGCCTACCAACCGGGGTTATTTAACTGTAATACAATACTGCAATACAATACAACTGTCAGCCAAGCCTGTCGGTAGTATACTGTAGTATACTACGATACATCACGGCTACCAGCCGGCAATACGGCTATCAGCCGGGCCTGTCTGTAGTATACTATAGTATACTACAGACACGCCCGGCTGATAGCCGTATTGCCGGCTGGTAGCCGTGATGTATTGTAGTATACTATAGTATACTACCGATAGGCTCGGCTGACACTCGTATTGCATTGTAGAGTTGTATTACAGTTAAATAACCCCGGCTGGTAGCCGTGATCTATGCCGTGATGTATTGTAAGTATTGTATTAAAGAGTAGATACGGCTCGGCTGCTACTGTACCCCTGGCCGTGTACAATGGTGTACGTATTTACGCAATCATAAATCGCGCTGGCTAAGAATAACTTGTATATATACAATTAATTAACATATTTTCCGTGTAAGACGTGGTAGCGCAAGGGGACAACACCCAACGTGTATGCTGAGGGTCGCGGGTTCAATCCCAGAGTGTGCGCAAACGAATTTGAATTTTTCTCTTTGCCGAAATTGTTTTTTTTTCTCGTTTATTTACCTGTCGCATAGCTAGCTATATGCATTGGGAAGATGAATTTGGATGCATTTCGATGATTTTAGGAAAAATTAATGTAATTTTGGTGGTTTTCTGCTTATGAAACATTCTAGAACCAGTCTCCGAAATGCGCGCATTTTTTGAACGAATAGTATACTATAGTACAGCCCGGCTGGCAGCCGAGCAATCGGAGACAAAATTTCCGGCTGTCAGCCGGCGTCAAATGCGCTAATCGGGTGTGTTGACAGGTTGGGTTGGAATTAGCCCCCTAACTGACCCTTTAATTGCAGCTGTGCTCTATGATGAGACGCAAGTCATAATGTGGCTGGCAGGAGCACCCTTTGCAATCGATCTCAGCTGCAAGTAAGGATGATTAACACCACCCCACTTTGTTTGCCACTGGTTGTACATAAGAATAATGGTTTAATAGCTTAACAACACAACCTGAGTGAGCTATAAATATTTCCTTATGATCTTCTTGTAGTTGGTTCTATTGACTGGAGTAGTATTAGAGTTCCAGGCACATCAAGCAGAGTGTCATCCACAATACCAGACCAAGGTGGACAAGTACCTCTTGGTAGTGTTGATCCTTTAGCCCTCCGTGAAATGCTGCTGGCGGATGCACATCG